ATTAATATATTTCAATTAATTAAGGTTTTTAGTTGAGATAAAAAAAGTCATTACCACGAGCGGGATTCGAACCTACGACCTTCAGTTTCATACTCTACCACTTGAGCTATCGTGACTTCGATCCACTCGGACACTAACTTCCCATCTCAACCCCACCTTTTGAGATTTCCCTCCTTTTTGCCATTTTTCAAATGTCGTGTAATCGGATTGGATTCTCGGCGACAAATGAAATGGCCACGGAGAGCTTTAGTGAAGGTATACTTCATTTTAACTTTTTAAATTCACTAGTTTTCGTGGTCCGCTTGACCAATTAATATATTTCAATTAATTAAGGTTTTTAGTTGAGATAAAAAAAGTCATTACCACGAGCGGGATTCGAACCCACGATCTTCGGCTAGATACGCCGCTGCTCTACCACTTGAGCTATCGTGACCTCGATCCACTCGGACACCAACTTCCCATCTCAACCCCACCTTTTGAGATTTCCCTCCTTTTTGCCATTTTTCAATTCAAAAGGTGGCGTTGAGATGGGAAGTTAGTGTCCGAGTGGATCGAGGTCACGATAGCTCAAGTGGTAAAGCATTGGCGTATTTAGCCGAAGATCGTGGGTTCGAATCCCGCTCGTGACACTGACTTTTTTATCTCAACTAAAAACCTTAATTAATTATAAATAAAGCTCAATTTTTACTGGCTGACCGATAAATCACTCGTTTCAAAATAAATTACATCGTGCAAGCTAGTAATGCACCATTTGCAAAAAACATAACGAATAATTTAATTATGCATGTTTCAATATGGCATGAAAACACATTCAAGACATTCCTAAAAACTTTAATACACTCAACACTCTTGCCTACATGGAATAAGGGGACGACCAGTTTGGTGGATCACCAATTTGAACCGAACCTTTTTTGGTGATTCTACACTCCAAGATATCAGTCAAGTATCCGCTACTTCTTGTGAATAGGCCTTGGTTTCGCCAAAAAAATTTGAAAGTTGAAATTTTCCGTTTTTTTATATCTTTATTTCGCCGTTCTCAGTTATTTGAATATATCATTTTAAAGCATTCTTTATATAGATTGTAATAAAAAATATACTAAAAGCTATCAAAGTTTATCATTAAGCAAAAAGTTTCTTTTTTTTTCAAATAAACCAGGTCATTTTTTTCGTGAAACTAATATGAAATTTTGTTTTAGCACCTCGAGAGACCCTTAAATATACATAAATGTTTGTTTGAATTTAAATTATCGATTTTTTGCCCTCTAAAATTTTTCGTTTTTCGACAAGTCGACGTATGTACTATAAAAATGTTTAATGTCGAAAAATATTTAAAAAATATTTCAGAAATTAACCTCGGATTTTTTTTATCGATTTTTTTTAAATGGAAATAATAGTCTGATTTTAATGTTTCTATAAGTTATAAAATGCACTTGACAATTTATTTAAAATGTATTACCACCATGAAAATCAATCCACTAGCTTTTGAGAAAAATTATGTTAGAGCTGGCTCTAGGAATATCAGCCAGGGAGAAAGTCGTCGAAATTATCTGTCAAAAAAAGTAATTTAGACCGATTTCCACGAAAGTCGGTTTCCAGGGGTTTTTTAACGCCACAATCACGAATCTGACAATAAGGTCAGGTTTGACCATTTTCTGATCTACTTTGCTTATAGAATGCTTATTAAAATATGCAAAAACAAGCAGTATTTTGTTGATTTGTCTTTTTAAATCATACCAAATTAGAATATTCTGCGTCGTATTCGTAGGACATTTTTGTTTTTATGTAACCGAGTTAAACAAGCTTCTTTCAAAATTTAATTTTAGTCACAATTAAATTAATATAACATCATTTTTCTCAAAAGCTAGTGCACCGGTTTTAATGGCTGATAATTCGTTTAAAGAAATTGTCAAATGCATTTTATAAGCATATGGAACATTCAAATCGGACTTTTATTTCCATTTTTAAAAAGCAGAGGTTATTTTCTGACAAATAATTTTGCTGATTTGTTTATTTTCTTATAGAAATATTTTATATACACTGACAGGCAAAACATTTCGCCCACTTGTAATATAACTTGATTTGTATATATTAATCAAAGTTTCACGTTTTTTAACGTTTAATAATTGAGTCTTTGTCTAAAAAAGTAAAAATAATGTAAATTGCTAAGGAAAATAAAACAAAAAAGACGGACAGATAAAATTTGTCTTAATTTTGTTTTAGATTTTTAATTACCATTTCAATAACGCAACATCCTCAGCACTAAGTGCCATTTTTAAGTTTAAAAATTGAAATTAAGAAAACAAAGATAAAAACTAAACTATTTATTGCTTCAGAATTCAAATGAAACTGAATAAAGTTTTTAAATTCTGTAAAAACTAAACATTAAAAAATCTTTTATTCTAGTTTTGGATTAAGGATAAAGTGTGTTTACATCTAATTGATATTCCCAATTTAAAACATAGCATAAACTAATATTTACTGATAAAAACAATGAGACAATTAAGGGCAGAATTTTCTTTTATCGAGAAAATGAAAAAAAAATCAATTGGGTAGAATTTTTTGCCTGTCAGTGTATTTGATCGTACATGCTTCGTTAAAAAGCTTCGATCTTCTTCTTTCAAACAATATGTTTGACGTTAAAATCCTTTTAGCCGTTTCAATCAGATATTCCGATAACTTCTCAAAAATCCGAAAAATTTTAGGGGACACAAAAAATAAAAATTTAAATTCTAACAAAAATTTATATTTTGGGTTCTCTAGAGGTGCTAAAAAGAAAGTTCATATTATTTCCACGAAAAAAATATATGACCTAGTTTATTTGAAAAATATTTGGTTTTTTAGAATTTTTTTAAGTTATTGATAGCTTTTATTATATTTTCATTGCAATGTTTAAATGCTGTAAAATGGTACATTCACCATTCACATAGTTGATTTGAGCAAGTAGAACGGCGAAATAAAACTACATATTTAACTAAACTAACTATAAACTAAAAAATAGCAAATTTAATCTCTCTCGCTCTCTCTCTCCCTCTCCCTCTTCCTCACCCTCTCTCTACCGCTCCCTTCCTCTCTCCATCAACCTCTCTCTCTCTTTCCCTCTCCCTCTCCCTCTCCCGCTCCCTTCCTCTCTCCATCGCCCTCTCTTTCTCTCTCCCTCTCTCTCTCTCACTCCCTCTCTCTCTCACTCNAAAAAAAAAAAGGCGAAACCAGGCTCTCTAGTGTACAGTCACCAAATCTGTGACACACCAACCTGGTCGTCCTCTTGTAAGCATTTTAATATGGATTTTTTTTTCTTAACAAAAGCCTTTTCATTTTTATATTAAAAAAATTCAAATCTTTTTCAGGCAGTTAGTTATACTTACATCCTTGTTGGGATTAATATAATCAGCTGGAACCCAAGGGTGTTTCTTGATAATTGTCTTTCTGCTGATGTGTATGGAATTTAAGGATTTTTTTAATACAGTTTGCTATTTAAAACGCAAAAAAAGCATGTTTTCAATTTATTTAATACAGCAAGAAAAGATTGTTTAATTCCAGCAAATTTTCCTCTTTCTTTATCAATTAAAAAAAAAATACATTTATAGTCATTCAATGTGTGTACACAGTGGAAATAAAATACATATATATTTGTATATAATAACTGTCCTGTTTGGTCTTTTGAAAGTAAACAAAAAAATTGTATAACAAACAATAAATTGTTAGTGTGCAGGGGTCTGAAAACAAACATTTGTAAACTAGGTAGATTACAGTCGTAGACTTCACTGAACTGCATTCTAGTATGCAAAAAACAACATAGTAATCTTTACATGTGTAAATACCTTTTGATAGTGTAATTATAATTAAGTTGTCACCTACACTACTCTGGAGAATATTTTAATAATCAAAGCAATCCCTTGACAACATTTTATCATTATTATACTACAACAGCACTAGAGCACTACAAGGACTTTGTAGTCTTTATGAACTTTGAACATTTTAAGAGAGATGAAATCCACTAACTTTACTCCAATCACAGCTCGGTTCACTTTCCTCACTAGTGAGGAAATTGCGAGATCATTGGCGCTTTATGTGTTCAAGACGATTTTCAGGCAGGGTTCAGTAAGAAAGATGTTAGGATGATTGCGGTTCTTGTGGTTTCAATGGCAAATGGGTAGTGGTCAGCCAGAAAGACTGTCGGCTTTAGACCCCTCAGTCAAAGGTTCAATTCCCACCGTCCCCCTGGCCATTTTTTTCTGTTAAAAGGGCAAACATTCCTTGACTAATATACAAAATTGATAAGACCATTTAAAAATAAAATAAAATAAAACGGCGATAGTTAGTTTGCTGGGTTATCTTACATATAAGCCTGGATGACATTTTCATCTGCACATCTCTATGCATACTGTATCAAGTTTGATAGAAATTTCTGCAGGGATGAACCTTGCGTAATACCCACTTTGGCATAATGGATTGTTGAGAAGAATGTTCTGATTTGTACTTTGTAAAGGTATCTCTTGGATCTGGTAGTATTCTAGTGGATAGGGTTTTAAGATCAGGTAATAACTGAATGGATATAAGCCCTTGAGTTTCCAGAGTAAGGCAGGCTTGATCAAAGGCTCCTAACAACTTAACAATTTTTTAAAATAAAATCTATATAAACTACATAATCTGGAACAGAAAGTGTCTCTTAATTCATATATACTTTTGTTTCATCAGTGTGTTTTTTTTTGTTTTTTTTGGGAGGGGGGAGGGAGATTTCGTTTTAAGTACAAATATTTATTCATAGTAAGATTTTGTGTTTGCTTATTTTTTACATAAAAGTGTACATTTTATTCAGCTACGAAATTGTGATGTTTCTATGCATTTTTTTCCATCTTTATCAACTCCGTCTACTTATAACTCCTCATATCGAGTTTTTCACAAATAAATACAATACACTAGTATAATAGGAGCCAACAAGGTTTATGTAAGTTAAATGATAATTAACAAGGGGAGGAGGCTCATTACTTGTTTTGTCACAGCCGGGAAACATGGAGCGATGCCTTCTACCAGGTTCCCCAACCCGTCAGGTAAAGTGGTCAGGAGGAAGCATGCGCATGACATTTCTTTCTTATTGCATGCAAACTTCATTGAATTCCGACGCTGTTTCTTTCCAATAAATGTTGGTGATGGATGAATTCAGTTTATAAAACCCATTTAATTTTATTATGTAAAAAATTGAAACTTATGAACCTATTTAACAATTAACAAGAAATCTCACAATTGAACATTTCGTTACAAATAAACTAGATTAATTTTGTCGACCAGAATTGAAATGGTGTAGTGTTTCATTTAATTTGTAGTAAAGAATTCTAAAATTGAAATTTTATATCAAATTTAAAAAAAAAAAGTGTTTAACATCTTACAAAAACTCATTTGACAAATAGGCAACATTTAAATGTATAAAATTACTTAACAATGATCATGTATATCACTATTATTTTATTCTATTTTGTTTTTATTATTTTATTTTGTATATATAATAATTAATAGTGTGAACTGAATGTTAACAAATAATCCATTTAATATTTAGTATGTTGTGTAAATAGACAACGTTCATAAAAATATTTTTACAAAAGAATTAAGTTAATTTTGATTCATTTAACAACAAAAATAGGTAATAATTTGAAGAAGGATACATGTTAAATCAATAAAAAAAATTTATGTCCTTGATTTATGTTTTGTTTTAAAATTGTTTCTTTATAAACATCATGGTGTTTACATTTTAATAGTTATATTCATATTTATATTTTCAGTTATTTTAACTGTGGTATAAAATCCCGTTTAACTCACAAAAAGCTATAAAATAAATTAACAATATACAACATTAACAACATTAAAAAAAACTATTGGATTGTTTTATTTAAAATGTCAGTTTACGCGGTAAAGGTGCTTAAGTATAACAGAGTTTGGGAAGAAAATCCAACCAGAAAACAATGTTGAACCTGTCGGCCATTTTCATAAATTTCTCCTTTAATGAAGTTATCCATGTTTATATTCCTAAACAGGAAAAATCTGACAGAGACAAGACTTGCAGAATAAGCTCGGTGTGGAAGAACTTCCTAGGCCTGCTAGTTTAATTTACTCTGGAGTTGTCTTTTTTTTCTTCTTTTTTTAACACATTTATTCAGTTTTAATGCAATGGGTGGCAAAAAGAAAGTTGAAAAGCACAATCGTACTGCAGAATGGACAGATGGTAGATCTTGGCCACGCTGTTAAGCTAAAATAATAAATTCATTATGGTTGAAGCCATAATTTTAAACATTGTAATTAGATCTTTCAATTTTTAAAACAAGTAAATCATTACAAATAGTTCCAAAGTCTTTATGAAGGGATTTTTTGAAAGCCTTACAAGCTGAGTGTTTTTCTTTCTTTGTAAATTCACCTTATCCCCCATTGTTTATGTACAATTATAACATTAAGTATATCGGTAACACCAAGACTAAATGACTCCAGCCATAGGCCATAAAAAAATTTTCTTGATTTAATTTTGGCGTCCCTTTTATTAACAGTTAACCTGACTGACACCGACACATTGTCATCACAATTATTCTTTTGACCAAACGCTTGGTTTCATTTAGCAAAACCTGAGGACTTTGTCATCAATTCAATGTTTTACAATTTGATTTTGACTCCAGCTGAAAATTTTACAATCCGTCTGTTCATTAATGCTGTATTCCTCAAACTCCATTGTAACTTTTCTTTCAGCCTTGGCTGCCGAATGAAGGAATTTAAATTTATAAAAAAATAAATAAGCATGAAAATCAAGTCTCCATGTTCATATTAAAAGGTAGCTAAAGAGTGTGTAATGAATCAAGGAGCTAATCAAAATAAAAAATAAAATAAAGGATTAATATTTGTTCATTATAATCTGTTAGTATGTTGGTATTAGTGAATTTCTGCGATAATAAAAACTGACATGTCATCCGAAACAAACCAATTTTTTTTTCAAAAGTCGATTATTCTTGAGGATTGAGACTTTATTTAATGACTATTCGTGTCAGAATTCTGTTTTATATGTTGGATATTTTTTTTCCTTCTTTTAATCTTGCGTTTTCAAGGTTTTATCAATATGATTTTCTCTTAAGTTTTGTTTGTTGGCTGTTTTTATACTTTTGATAACATACACCATTTTATGTTTATTTTTTATTGAGATATTTGGCCGTTGAATAAATATATATATTTTTTAAAAAAAGGAGCTTGCATCACAAAAATGTGCCTGTTGAATTTGATGTTTTGTGGGTGAGTTCTTCATTCTATGATATGTCGCTTGGTAAATACAAATCGACTATTAACAACTATAATTGCCTACAAAATTTTATTTAATCAGGACAAATAATCATAATTGAATGTTTAGCCGCAGTTGTTATGAAAAGAAAATTGCATCACTGTTGATCATTATTTTTTTTTATGTCTTTTTTTATCATATTAGTTTGATATTGATAAAGTATTTTAGAAAAAAGAGAAAATATTATAATCGCAATATGTAATTTATTCTTATTTTAATTTCCGAGGATTACCAACTTGCCCGTACAATAAAAAATTTAATTAGTCTTTTGTTTTAGTTTCTAAGTAATTGTTTAGTATCGGTGTTAATTGTTCACTATGATATCAAACATTGAAACACTCATTCCATGGATAGAATTATATAAGGAAGTGTAATATTTATATATTTTGGTATAGGAAAAGTAAATTGGTTCATTGTAAAGAGTTCAAACTTTTGTGCATGATTGATGTACCAAGCCGCTATAAATATTGATAATTTAATATTTCATTACAATTCTATACGTATCAAATTGCAAAGCTTTCAAATTGCAGTTTAAAAAAAAAATCATGTATAGTTTGGTAGCTATTGATGACTGATTTAAAGAAACCTTCTGCAGCCCAAAGAATTATTTATTTACACTTGTTTTATATTAAAAGTAGTAGTAAGGAGGGAAAACTCATAAGGTGGGGTTGAGATGGGGAGTTGATGTCCGAGTGGATCGAGGTCACGATAGCTCAGGTGGTAGAGCAGCGGCGTATCTAGCCGAAGGTCGTGGGTTCGAATCCCTCTCGTGCCATTAACTTTTTTTTCATCTCAACTAAAAACTTTAATTAATTGTCATTAAAAGTAAATTTGATATTTTTTAAACTTTTATTACCACATTTAGAAAATATCTTTAAACTCTTAAAATATGTGTCTAAAGTTTAACGGAAAATAGCATTGTTCAGCTAAAATAAGCAAGCATGATTAACTTTCTCCGTATAATACTAGCTATTGCAATAGAATAAAATACAATTTTCTATGTAAAAACAAAAAATGCGACTAAATCCCTGCATGACATGTATCACAGTGTAATACCAAAAGCTTGCAAGTAGATTGAAAATCATTGTCAAAAAATAGAAATTAAAAAAAACTAAAGCTAGTCATTACTAGTATTTAATTAAATGTTTCATATATTTAGACTTTTCAGTGTCCACTTTAGTTAGCTTAGTTGTTGATGGCTATCATACAATATTAAAAAATAACGCGAAACCAAATGTCAACCTTTCAGTAAACAATTGAACATGTTAGTTAATATGTTGTCAGTTATATTTTTGTCTAAAACTTTTTGATGTTGCCTTTTTTTACAGTTGGTGATCTTTTCTCTTAGATCTATCGCAATCGTTTCACACTTTTCAAAACATTTTCCAAAATTACATTAAAAAACATAGAACGACTGTTAATACATTGCCTAAAACATATAACACAATTGTAAGTGTATTTACATTTTGTTTTTGTTTTTAGCAAAGTGGACAAGGCTTGGGTATAATGATAATTGAAGGGAAGCATGCAGAAGTGGGACAAGGTATATTTATCTCCGACATCCAAGAAGGAAGCGCAGCACATCAGGTATTTCTTGGTTCTCAGTTTATAAACTATTACAGCATCATTCATGAAGTGATTAGTTTTTATGTGTAATTCTTTTGACTAAAGATTTCGCTTCTTTCATCTGATTTGTTCCCTACGGTGAACATTTTCTGCCTCATTTATTTCTTCATTTCCCTTTTCTAATATTTCTCTGTAAGCTTGGGTTTTGTTTTTTCAAACTACTCATTATATACCATACATTTTATATGTTTTAGTCTATACATTTGTAATGGTGTTTTTAATTTTTTTCCCCTTTTTCCAGGCAGGTTTAAGTGTCGGAGACATGATACTTGCTGTAAATAAAGATACCCTTTTAGGATCAAATTATGATAATGTAAGTCGATTCTAAATATTTGTTTAATAATTGTTTTTTACATTATTACAAAAAATTATTAAAAGTCTATTTACAACTTCAGGCTGCTGCGTTATTGAAAAAGACAGAAGGCGTTGTCACTTTAGTAGTCTGCAATCCAAACAAAGCCAAAGAAGAAGAAAGAAAAGTTACAGAACTGACTATGCAGTCTACGGCGAGTACGTCTCATCAAACCCCTAAGTCTGAAAAGATGGGAAAACCAGCGCAGAGTGGAACTCCAAGTAATTTATGACGATAATGGCTAATTTATAAGATTTATATCAAATTACATGATGAACGAACAAAAGAAAAATTCGTCATCTGAAGGATTTTGGTCAATTAAAAGCTAAGTGCACGCATACACCAGAATCCTTGCTGTGGCTAGATTTTCTTTTGCAGAAAGTAAAGCCAACTGTTTTGGCAATACAATTGTATTTATGTCCTCAATTCTAACTTTCAAATAAGTAGAAAGAAAAGATGCAGAACTGACTTCACAGTCTGCAGCAGGCCCAACTTATCAAACCCCAATGTTTTAAAAGATGGGAAAATCTAGAAAATCTAGTGCAACGACAAGTGATTTATAATCACGGCTAATTCACAAGATTTGTATCAAATTACAAGATGAATACACAAAACAAAAATTCATCATCTGAAGGTTTGAAGGCCGAATCCAGAATCAAACATTTCTTCCTTTTTTTTAGATTTTCTTCTTAAGAAAGTAATGCCTACTTCTTTTGACAATACAATTGTATATATGTGCTCAATCCATATTTTTATATTTAATTTATTCATATAATTTATTATGCTCTTAATCTTTTTTGCCTGTTTACCATTTAAAGTTATAAAATTTATCAACTGCTTATTGTATCTAATAAACTTTCATAATTTTGATAGTTTTCTTCTTGCACTGGATCTCAAGAAAATTACTAGAATTTATCAATAGTTAACTGTTCTAAAATAAAAATTTCAAAAATGTCAAAAGCGAGATTTGAACAAATCCAGTCGGTTCTGTTTTATATATTTAAATGTGAACAGTTTCTTTGTTTCCTTTTACCCTTTGCATGATTTTTTTTTAGTCTAGTTCAAAAATTATTAACACAGCAAAACAAATATGTTTTTAATGTTGAAAACAATTGAACTTAATATTTGTAGAGCTTTTGCCTCCTCCTGGTTCTTTATCACCATCACCATCAGGAAAACTGAAAATGGATGTTGATGAAAATTTAGCGACCACTGCCATTATAGCGCCAGGATCGGAAACAACTATCGAAATAAATAAAGATAAAATTGGCCTTGGAATTAGTGTAGTTGGAGGTGTCGATTCATTACTCGTAAGTTTTTCCCAGTTAATAAATCATGTCTGTTATCATTATAAAATATTTTCTTTTTGTTATTTTTATTTGTCGTCATTTGATAACATTTCTGTTTTATGCTTTCCAGGGTGAAATCATTGTTCATGAAATTTATGCAGAAGGTGCTGCTGCCAAAGATGGCAGACTTAAACCTGGTGATCATATTTTAGAAGTAAATAGTGAGGATTTTAGAAATATCTCTCAAACTAGAGCATTGACAATTTTAAGACAAATTCCTGGAAAAGTACGATTGATGATTCAGTTGATTTTTTAATCTTTTTAATTTACCAAAATCTATTTACATGGTATTTATTAAATGTGTAGGTTCGAATGCTTGTGTTTCGTGATGTAAACTACAGTGATGATGAAATCAATAATTTAGACATAATGGAAATTGAACTAACAAAAAAACCTGGCAAAGGTTTGGGCCTCAGCATTGTAGGGCGCAAAACTGGATCAGGCCTTTACATTTCCGAAATCGTAAGCTAATTAATGCTAAAGATCTCTTATTATACTACTTTATTATCACTAGTTATTCTTCAACATAAAATATTCTCGATTGTCAGGTCCCTGGTGGAGTCGCAAGTGTAGATGGAAGATTAATGAAAGGTGATCAAATAATGACTGTCAATGGGCAAGATATTCAAAAAATGACCCATGAAGAAGCTGCTGCAGTATTGAAAACAGCTATTGGAAAAGTGTCGTTAAAGTTTGGGCGATACAAATCGAGGTGTGTATAATCTGATGTCTTGTTGATTGTCTTGGATTTATTTTATTATGCTCAATAATGTTTAACGATTTTTTTTAATAGATAGAAATCATTTTTTAATAAGCTGTGTCATATTTATAATTGTGTATTCTAACATTGAAAGAATAAATCCTCAAATTCCAGTTTTCTTGGTTTTACTATTGTATTTTTGGCCAGTAATTCTGAAACAATTTCACGGGAAATGTTTTAACAATGTTAATTGGATTTTCTGTTTTTGTTTTTGCATATTCAAAGGAAACTAAAATAAAAGGTATGGGAAAATTTCAGGCTATCTTTAGTAATCAATAGTAAATACATTTCCAATTATGACTCTATGCCTATTTGTTACACAGGGTAGTAATACCAAGAAATATAGATGTCAACTAGATAGAGTAATACCATTTTTGAATATCAATTGCATTGTTGTGTATGCATGGTTCCCTCCCTATGACGTTTATATGATTAAAGAATTTGATCTTTTATCTTCAGTTTTGAATATGTGGTTGGTTGGTTTTTTCATGTATTTGATTTAGTTTCACGTGGAAAGCCAAAAAGGAAATACAATTTTTAAATTTTTATGTATGGCTACCCACTTTACCCATAGCTCATAAAATACTTTGTTTAATAAAATAAATAAATTACAATTAATTAAGGTTTTTAGTTGAGATAAAAAAGTCAATGGCACGAGCGGGATTCGAACCCACGATCTTCGGGCCGCTCCTCTACCACTTGTGCTATCAAGACCTCGATCCACTTCCCACCAACTTCCCATCTCAACCACACCTTTTGAATTTTCCCTCCTTTTTGCCATTTTTCAAAAGGTGCGGTTGAGATGGGAAGTTGGTGTCCGAGTGGATCGAGGTCTCGATAGCTCAAGTGGTAGAGCAGCGGTGTATCTAGCCGAAGATCGTGGGTTCGAATCCCGCTCGTGCCATTGACTTTTTTATCTCAACTAAAAACCTTAATTAATTGTAATATATTAATTGGTCAAGCGGACCACGAAATTAGTGAATTTAATAAAATAAATAAATTTGCTGAATTAGAGTTAAATTTAATTTTATTGTTTAGGTAGCTAAGACAATTATCCTTGAGTTATGCCCTTTCAAAATCCTTCTCTATTCCAAGATATAAACATTGGGTTGTCCGAAAAATAATGCAGGTTCATGTTTATAAAATAAAAATAATTTAATAAATGAGTTTAAACATTTTTTATTATTTAAAACACTCTCCATCCTTTTCAATACACTTCTCCCAAAGTGACGGCAACTTTTCTATACCCTCTGAATAGAATTTTGAGTCTTTATTACAAATTCTGTAAATAAATTTTCTAACAACTTTTGATTAATAAATTTTATTTGGATGTAAAATGTCCATGTGTCTGGGTCTGAAGAAATGGTAGTCGGTAGGTGAGAGGTCTGGAGAACTTTGTAACCAAGATCCAATAGTTTTTGTGTTGTCACTTGTGAAACATAAAGTCGAGCGTTGTCGTGTAACAGAATCAACCCTTCTGGTTGACCAAAAATGGCTTCGATAATGCCGATTATCGGTGCATTGTTTCAATTTCAAGCATTGATTGTTTCACCAGGATTCAAGAAGCTGTAAGATTTGCTAACTGAAAGATTCTCTGCATGTTCTCGGACAGTTGTTCTGGGATTTTGTTCGACCAAAGCTAGCAGAAAATCATCATCTAGGGAAGAAACCCTTCCACAAACTTCTTTGACTTCAAGGCTAAAGTCTCCCTCTCGGAATTTTTTAAACCATCTCACTCATACTGCCATCGCCTCGGACTTCTTAATGTTGCTGGTTGTTTGAGCACTGTTCTGACCGAGTTTAAACTTGTAAAACGAAATTAAATTCAAAAAAATATCTATCACATGTAAACAGTTTATTATATAGAAGAGTAATTGAAAGAAAACGTAAAAATCTCTATTATTTTTTGGACAACCCAATAATATTCAATATTAATATCACAACTACCTCCAGCACAAAGATGTGGGAAAAAGCAGACAAAGGCAATACTAGTTATCATTTCAAAAACTGACTGCATTGGAAAAAACCCAAATTCATACCAAACATTTAACTATAACAACTACAACAAATACACAGAAATGTCAAAAAAAAATGTTAAAATTAATAAACAACTTTTTCCTGATTAAATTCACTAATTTCGTGGTTCACTTGACCAATCAATATATTACAATTAATTAAGGTTTTTAGTTGAGATAAAAATGTCAATGGCACGAGCGGGATTCGAACACACGATCTTCGGCTTGATACGCCGCTGCTCTCCCACTTGAGCTATCGTGACCTCGATCCACTCGGACACCAACCGCGCATCTCAACCACACCTTTTGAATTTTCCCTCCTTTTTGCCATTTTTCAAATGTCGTGTAATCTGGTTGAATTCTCGATGACAAATGAAATGGCCACGGAGAGCTTTAATAAAGTATACTTCATTTTTAATCATTAATTTTTTTTCCTCATTTTCATTTTTCTTGATTCTTAACCCTGTGGAAAGTACATACAAGTAGATAAATTTGAACTTTAGACCAGAATTTCCAAAATGTAACTAACTATTTGTCCTATTGCTAAATGATTTTCTATTTTTTGGTGAACTTTCTTTTTCTTTCAAACTATCCTAATTAAATAATTTTGATTAAACTTTTGGATTTTTGAGCTCATTTAATTTGGTTTACATTAAAATAAACATGTTTTAATTAATATAACAAAAAAGTGTATAGATTTTGAAATAAACAACAAAATTTCCGAAGTACCTTTTTTTACGCCAAAATGGGAGAGAGCGGTAGTGTGGTAGTGAGAAGAAAAAAAACAGTTATTGATAAATTCACTGCACTTTAAATATTTCTTCGGCACATCCCTCATCAGGACTTTGAAACTATGAGCATCCCATGTTGACAATTGATGTTCATATTTGTTGGTAATGAAATGTGATGAAAGTGATATTTTTTGAAAGCTTGACAAAAGAATTGGATTTTTTTTCCTTCAAATTGGTCTTTTTCGATATAAAAAATTCTAATGTTAAATGCTGATATTAGTTAAATTGAGAGGAAAACACCGACAATGGGTTGACTCCACACAAATGTTGTTTTTACTATTCAATTTTTTCCTCTAATGTCATTTTAAATATGTTTCAGGAGAAAGGAGTGTAAACTCCTCCGCGTTGGAGGATGTTAAAGGAGAATCATATTTATTCTAACATGATATGGATCCGCATCCCTCGAGGCATAATTTATTCTCTAAAGACTGTTTCCAACAAGAAAACCTAGAAGGGCCCCCAAATAATTGGACATACAATAAACAAAAGTTTAAAACCCATAGTCAAATAGATAAATATGAAAATTAATGATTAAGACTTACTACTCGGTCACTTTCACTATACATTCATAAAATTTTTATAAAGTTCTACATGCCAGCAAACTTCAATATTTATATAAAAGCTCTCATTGATTAACTAATGTGAAAATATATTTTTTATATTACCGTTCTCTTTAGCAATATAAATTACACAGTGTTACTTGTTTATTGTGCTACTGAACAAACACATCCATGTAATGTGGTAGCGGCTTTAGTGAATTACTGCTACTCTTGCTTTTGCATATATGTGATAATCACAGCAGTCATTAAGTTAATTTAATAGGTCATTATTATAGATTGTAGACCTAAAATTTGTTCCTAAATCAGTTAGAATTTTAGAATTTTAATGTTGGAAATGAATGATAACAATTTTTAAAGCTTTATAGTAATGTACAATTAAAACATATTTTAAAACTTTATTTACAAATGGTTATCAAAGATTTATACAATCCATCTGTGAATAATCATTGGAAAATTGAATTAAAAATGTGATAGATTTTGCTATTTAAAAATGTTTATTTTCACAGCGTTACACATTAAAAAATATATATCGCATGTGTATTTAAAAAACAGGAAATATACTGATCGTTGTAGAATCATGACAAATGTTTGTATCATTCAAAACATTGATCAAAACAGTTTAACAAAAAAATTCTACTTTTTGAGATTGGCTTTACACAAGTATTACTTATAACCGTTTTCAAGCTATATTAGCAAAACATAAACAGTAATAAACGTATTTATTGTAATTTATTAATAACGTATTGATTTATTTTATGCTGTTTGTATGATTGAATCATTTAGGAATTGCGTATTTTTAGATAAATTGGGTTTTTATTACAATCGTGATCGACCAAGAGATCAGGGGACCATCAAAATTTCAATTTTGTTATTGCGTTTAAATTGTATATACTATCTAATGGAAACACTAGTTATTTTCAGTTTATTTTGTAATTTAGAGATACAGGTATGATAACAAGAAAAAAAAAATCTAGCAAATTATTTTTATGTGATGAATTTATTTCAAATGGACATCTTTAATACTATTTAGTAATTTAAATAAAGGAAGATTCTGCCGTCTTCTTTTCATAGTTGAACAAATATTTATAATATTGGGTTAAAAATCAACTGAATTACTTGTTTATGGAATGAAGTTTGATTACTATTTTGTATTATTGTTATTTATTACTTTATTATTATTATAGCCATTAATCTTCGAGCGGTTGAGCAGGGTACAAAGTTACCCCTAGCCAATATTTTAAATTGTATATTTCTGTAGATTTATTGTTGACAAAATTTATAAGAAAAGTATGGTTCAGATAAAAAACGGTTTTATTTGTTTACAACTATAATTTTATAACAAAATTTGGAAAAAATAAATTCCAAACTTAATAATATACAATTTTTACAATTTCACAAAATCAGTAAAACCAAATGTAAGTTGAACAATTTATTATATACCATGTTTACAATGAATCAGTATAAACCATACTATTGGGGGAAGTTTATGGGATATGAACCAGTAGAAGGAAGTATATTTTCATGCTAGTAATGTAGATTTTACATGGACTACATCTTGATATCATATATGTCACATTACTAGGTTTCTATTATAATTCACGAATATCTCCTATGAGAAATATTGTGCTGATTATTGTGCTGATGTGCATTTCTTGAATTTTTCCTATGTTAAGAAACTTCTCCCAGGATTTAAAAATAATTTTATCAGTACGGACAAGAAAAAGAATAGAATAAATATGCACTGCAGGAAAAAGTATTAAAATAAACCCAACACAATCGACCAGGGTAGTTTTGTACCACATGTTTTTTTATTATTTTTTTTATTTTTTAATATTTTTTTTTAGTTAATTACTACTACTAATTTACTAATAATCCATAGATGGACCCTTTACCCCCATTCCTTTTTTCCTTACAGGTTATAGGACAATTCTGGGGAATTTCAGTTTTGCAACTTCTGCAATATATAAGAAAAAACATGCTCTGGGGTACAAAATTATCGCACAGTCACACAGTGTGACCGTTCAAAGATTAATGGTTAAGTTCTCTTCATACCTTTAGAGATTTTTAACTAACAACATTCATAAAATTATAAAATACTCTTTTGAGTGCTAACGAATTCGAACTTGAAATGTTCAATCATCTTATAATTTACTCGTCATAACTGTTATTATTATTATGTATTTTATATTACTTGACTAAATCAACTTCTAGATTTAATATTATATATTGAAAATGAAAATATGTTGCTAATTCCTACAGCATACCATCAACACATGGACGAAAGAAAATAATCTTTGACATCAAAATATAATTGATAATTTTGTGTATTGTTTTATTTTTTTAAAATCATTTGTAGTTTCAAATATAAGGTTAGATTGTTTTGAGTTTCTCTAACTGGACCAATGATTTTAAAAAAATAACAGTACTAGAAAAAAAAATTTTTTAGTTGTATTAATAATTTGAACACAAGAATTTTTAAACTATTTTTTGGATTCAGTTGAATAATTTTTGTTGAATCGTACAGTGCTACTTGGATAGTTTTTAAGTTTAAAAATAAAAGAAATCAAGAAAAAGAAATTGTTTGTTAAATCTTGTATTGCAAGTAAATTTTCACAAGAAACCTTCATCAAATATGTGCATAATTTTAAATTAAATGAATATTTAGAAGACCCACTTTTTAGCTCACATGAAATAATTTTAAAAATATAAAAAAATACAATGTATGTGACAGTGACCTTTGAAATGACAGTGTGTAGTGTAGTGTTAAAAAAGATGTAATTATTTATAAATTACGAAATTTTGGCTACACTGGAATAAATCTTGAATTTCTAACTTGATATGTATATGTGTTTTGCATATATGCATGTGTACTATTTATAAACTGTAAAGGACTTTATATTGAAGTCGTCATAAAACGATTGCACTAAATGTGTTTTATTACGTAATAGGTGTTTATACATTGCTTGAAAGTTGTTGAATGTGAAATAAGATCATATCATTTTCTACAGCTAAACATTTTTAAATTGTTATACATTTATATAACTGTTGAAGTTGGTCAACTCTGTTAAACTTGAACATATTTTTAACTAATATGTTTGTTTTTTAGTTTTTAAAAAATTTCCTTATGTGAAATTTTTTTAACTTAATAGTTAATTTATAGTCAATTACTGTATTCCTATTATCAATGTATTCATACAATTTTATTTTATAGGTACATCCAGAAAGTAATATATTAAGAAAACATGTCCTAGTCAATTAAAAAGTCGTTTAGATATGCTTTGCATAAAAGGAATTAATTTTTACAGGTTACAATTCTATACCTTTTAGTTACTTTTTCAGATTAAAAATATAAACTTTTATTTGCATATATAATTCAGATGCTTTAATGACATATTACCACCGGATATTTCGATAAGAACATTTGTAAAACCTAATAAATATTAAAATAAACATTATTTCACGAATGAATAAAAAACAAAACAAATGCAGTCATGATTTTTTACAAAAAAAAAAAACTTTCTCTCAATTTTTCAAAGTTGATGTTTTATGTATATACACATATTTACAGATATTTTTATTGGATTTTTGCACACTTGAAAAAAAAAATAATAAACACTCGTTTCATCTGTTTATCTTTAAATAGAAATCAACTGCACTCAATCATATTGAAAATGTTCAGTGGAATGAATTATTTTAAAATATGGTTGAAATGAAAATCTGTAAAATATATTGTTAGTCATAATAATACTAATATTCTTGAATTTTGTTTTACTCTCTCTCTCTCTCTTTTCCTGCTACTACCTACAAGCAGTAAAAAAGAAATTTAAAAAATCTTATTAGGGTGAGCAATGGTCTTATGGAACTGAGTATTTATTAAAAAAATTCTACATTGTGATTAGACCAGGATCAATAAATTGTTAGATCAATATTTTACATTTTTATCCGACATATTTAACTCTGTAATGACAATACAATGCGAATAAATTAATTTTATGATTTACTTTTATAGAGTCAAACATTAATTTTTCCAAGTTTTGCACTTTGTAATTCATATGTTCTTTAAGCTAAGCTAATAAAAATATAATACATATATAAAAAAACACTATACCAAGTTTTATTTCAACTTTCAGTTGGTGAGTTTTAGAGTAATTTATTGATTGTAAAAAAAATATGCTTGGAGCATAAAACATAGAACATATTTTAGCACTTGATTATATCAATTAGAAATCTATTATTTATTTAAATTTTGTAAAATAGATTTGTATTTAGAAAAACAAAATAATTTTTAGTTTGTATAGTTTTGCCAAATATATATCAATATTGTTTATATTCAGTATCACTTTATAATTATGTAAAGCAGGCTGTAAAATGTTATAAAAATATTTAAAAAAACACCTGTTTTGGTTTTTCTTTTACCACTGTCAACAAACAATTGTATAATCAACTTTGACATGAGATATACTACATTATTAAAAGTTTTTAATCTAGAGATGGATTATTATGCTAGAATTTAATTTGGAAAATTTCCTCCTGTGGTCTGCAGAATAATGAACCTGCATTTTGATTCTTGCCATTCATTTTGGTTTGCTTATCCTCGCTGGATTTGTCTGCCAGAGATGATAGACATTTCGCCATCGTCAGTGTGTTCATTTTGATATTCCAGTCGAGTTGATTGCCATTTACAATCGGTTTGTGGATGTATCGATGTTTTTTGTGTGAATATGAGAAATCTTTCAAGCAATCTCTCAGGAGTTTAAAATAAAAAAAGGCCTAGGGAGGATCTTGAGCTTGTAGTTCAGGAGGTAAATAAAAGGATAGTGCATGCTTTTGAAAGAAATTGATAATAACTCAAAGAACCATTGGACAATGGGTTAAGAATAAAATATTTGGTTTGGCGGGACTAAATGTGGTGTAATGGGTTCCAGTACAGAGGCTTGCAAAATGCTTGTTATAACAGAGAACCATCGCAGAAACTAGGACTGCTAGTAACTAGTTAAAACTAGAAGATGGAGTACTGCAGAACACACACACTCCAGAGGCATATGTACTCAGAGCAGGAGAAACAAGAAGAAATAGGGGAACAATTCCACTGTTGGTGCGCATATACAGGCTGAACTTCCTACTCCTGGGTGAGAAAAACCCAGCCAAGAATGATAAATACAAGAACACATAAACCTTTAGGATCTGATAAAAAGCCTTAACCATAACAAAGATAAATAACAGAGATGGCTCAATAGACTCATATTTGTCAAGGTGCAAATGTTGTAAATAGGCCAACTCCATTTGATCTTAATCTAATCTTTTTGTGTGTATTACAGAAAAAATATAATAATAATAAAAGTATATATAAATGTATTACAGTATTCATAAAGAATATATATATATATATATATATATATATATATATGTGTGTGTGTATGAGATAGAGTGTATTTATTAGTGTGAATGTGTAGTGTGAGAAAACCGACCCATCGACTCTTAATCAGATTAGCTGTCAAATTTGTGTGATGGAGAAATATTGTTTGTAGTTGGGCAGTGCTGAATCTGCATGCAATTCATTTTTTTCCATGTTAAAATTAGGGATCCTGTTGCTAGCAGCGCTTTGGTGAAAATCATTATATGCTAGATATTGTTGTAGATTGTATTATATAGCATTTTTCAATCAAATGAAACCTTTTTCCAAGCAATTGAAACTTTTTTTCAACCAAATGAAACCTTTTTCCTACCAAATGAAACTTTTTTTCAACCAAATGAAACCTTTTTTCAACCAAATGAAACCTTTTTCCAAGGAAATGAAACCTTTTTTCAACCAAATGAACCTTTTTTTCAATCGAATGAAACCTTTTTCCAAGCAAATGAAACTTTTTTTCAACCAAATGAAACTTTTTTTTCAATCAAATGAAACCTTTTTCTAAGCAAATGAAACAACTGACAAAAAAATCCTCTTGAGATCGGATAGCAAGCAGCTGTTAAAGCATTAGCATATAAATAATTAAATCAAAATTATCAAAATAGTGAATGCATCCAAAACCTGGGGATACAGCTTATAAGTTCACATGGCAAAGGAGGGAGGATATGCAAGACCATATACGGTCCTGAACCCGTTTTTGTGGTTACAAAACCATATATAGAATATTTTCTTTGGTGATTGATCAGCCTTCTCAGTTTAAATATATTTTTCTTTCTAAAAGGTAGACTGGGGATGAGGCCAGGAAGACAGAAACATTTATTTTCTTGTCGAGCTTTCGGCAGAATATATCGCCTTCATCAGGACTTTGAAAAAAATTGTTATACTATATGAACAGGTACATGTGTGGATAACGGAGTTCTGCCGGCTAAAAAATATGCTAAAACAACCCTCACCAAGACTGGGGAAACAGTTAGAGAGGGCTGAACTCAGAAGAGTGATATGGCAGTATACCGGCCGTAGACATCTGAGAAAACATCTACAAAAATGGGTTCATTCGATGATTACCCCATAGGGAGGAAGAAACTGCCATCATCAACACATCTTTCAATGCGAAGCAACAGCTCAATGGAGACAAAATCTGAGGTGCAATCCAGGGAAAGGAATTGTAGCAATGACCGTCAATGATCTAGTATTCCTTAGGAGAAGGATCCTGCTTGGGGAATAATGATAGCACTTCATTTTTTATATTATAGTAATAAAAAATAAAATTACTACACAATAAGCACAGTACGGCATGCGAAATTCTGTCTGCACGAGGTCAATGAAAATGTCAATAAAGCATCAATCAGAACAATACAAAAAATCTAAGAAGGAGAAAAAATTAAAGAACTTGAAAGTAAAGCCAAAAAATAAAATAAAACAAATAATAAAAATGAAAATAAAATTGTACCTCATTCAACATTAAATATACCGGTATGGTCAGGCGTGTCTACAATATTTTACAAGTGGGGTCGGGTCAGAGTTTAGTCCAGTAATTAGTCCATCTCTAGACAGGAACTGAGGCCTAGGTCTTTTTCGAATTTATTTTAAATTTGTGCATTCTGCTAAGAAATGGAACATATCCTCTACTCTTAGAGTTACATACAGGGCACCTCATTTTTAAAACACATCGCAAATCACCCAGATTCAGATGCTGATTAGGCTTGGGGAATAAAAAACCCCTGACTTCCTAGTATCCGTATTTATCATTACCAATAACTGTTTAGGGGGGCGTCGGTGGCTGCAACGGTTGACACGGCGCTCATCACTGTACGGTAAAGGTCCCGGGTTCGAATCCAGCAGCCCTACATTCGAACCCGACATACTTACAAATGGGCTTTTTTTTTCAAAAACACCGGCACTCTGAGGGTGGATATGTCCTCTGTTGTTTCAAGCCTCGTAAAAAAAGGAAAAAAAGGTACAATTGCAAAATTTGCTAGGACGATTGTTTCGATTTACGTTATATAAATTAGCTATATTTTTATTAAAAGCTTTCCTTACATTTTTAGGTGGGATTGAGATGGGAAGTTAGTGTCCGAGTGGATCAAGGTCACGATAGCTCAAGTGGTAGAGCAGCGGCGTATCTAGCCGAAGATCGTGGGTTCGGATCGATATAACCTCTGCTGTTGCGAACCCTCGGAAAAATAAAAAATGTAACTGTTTAGGAAGTTAAGGAAAAGAGAGAAAAAATATGAGTGGCAGTAAGAAAAATTGCTATTTTATGCACAGAGGGCCCCGGCAATGGCCACTTTGTCGTCCCATAATTAATATAAAAACTATATACTAATAACTGTAGAAGAACATAAATAGTTATAGCTAAATATACTCCTTAAATGAGCTGCATTCATATTTTATAGTGGATATATATAGGAAAAAGTCAATCAAGTTCATTAACAGAAAATATTATTTGCTCACATTAATAATTATAATAAATATAAAATTAATATCACAAGATCAGTAGCATCATGACAACAGAACTACTTGAAAACAAAAATAAATATTTTTAAAAAACTTATACATTATTTTACAATTTTCTGAAAAACATGTTCAATATTCATTTCATTTACATTACAACAATTTATGCACAATCAATATTATAAGTGAACACACTCACTCATTCTCATTCAAACTGAGTCAAATGACTGGTTTACTCTTTACAAACTAATTATATGGTTTGAATATCCAAATTTTTTCTTCTTTTTTTTCTTTTTTTTGGAATGTTCAAAACCTGATATAAAGTATACACTATCCTCATGGCTGTTTCAACTACAACTTAGCTAACCTTTAATAATATAACTAGATAAATATGCATTATTGACTTGAAAATGTACAATTACACAATTACATCACAATACACATAGACTGTCCACAAATAAGATTTAAATGGGAAAGTTTTTTTTTAATACATTCATTAAACCATACATCAATTATTAGTAGTAATTTAACATATCACTAATAGTATGACAATCTTGTTTATACATTATACACACAACAGAAAATTATATTAAATTCTAAGACACAAGATCACGAGTGGTAAATAACTGTGTTAAATCCATTTGAATGAGTGTGAACAAGTCTAAATTAGACAATATTTGGAAGTTAATGCCACATTTCTTGAATGACTCACATTTAGTTTATATGTACAATTATTGACTTTGGCTACGAAAAGAAAGAAATAAAATCGTTCTATAGGAAAACAACAAGCAGTCTAAACTTTGTATATCACGATGACATACGTTATTACATTATCGATTTTAATCAACACATGCGTACTTGTTAAAGAAGTTTTTCGTGTGAAGTTGGTATTCCGCATTTCTTCTAACATTTTTTGTAATGAACACACCGACAAAAGCTAGAGACAATGTAAATAAAAGTAAAAAAGTATATTTTAAAATTTCCTTAACCGTTTTTACAGTGAATGTTAAATGATATAGAACGTTGACAAAATTCTCCGGGAGTTCTCCTGAGTCCTGAAATAAATAAAAAAAATAGCTGAAGTGAAATAAAGTAATCGAAAATAACACATTTATAAAGAATATGTTTATTACCTAATTTTAAAAAAACCATAAAGTAAAGAAAAATAAAATAAATAAAAATGTAAAAAAATTATAATTAATTAAGGTTTTTAGTTGAGATAAAATCTCGGCGACAAAATCCAATCCGATTACACGACATTTGAAAAATGGCAAAAAGGAGGGAAAATTCAAAAGGTGCGGTTGAGATGGGAAGTTGGTGTCCGAGTGGACTGAGGTACCGATAGCTCAAGTGGTAGAGCAGCGGCATATCAAGCCAAAGATCGTGGGTTCGAATCCCGCTTGTGCCATTAACTTTTTTATCTCAACTAAAAACCTTAATTAATTATAATATATTAATTAGTCAAGCAGACCACGAAATTAGTGAATTTAATGGTAAAAAAAATTTTGTCCCTTTTTTGGGGGTACCAAATAATTCCACCTCTAGCACAAATCATGCCCATTAAACACTTTGCATTCCTTGGACAAAATTTCTGGTAAAATTTAAAATCCGATATGATATCTTAGACAGAAAAACTGAGAGACGGTCAGTAGTCAGGATTGGCTTTTCTTACAAATTACTTTTTTTGTTTCTCTCATCTACTAAGAATCACTGGCAAGTATGCACAGACACATGCCCCAATATTTTTGTACTATTAAGTTTAAAAAAAAATTATACAAGAGAAAAATAACTTACAAAATCAAGCCATCCAAATGGAAGAATTATTTCATTCTGACTCACTTTTTCAGAAAATTGCATGTATATATATTTTTCGAATTTTATATTTAATTGAAATCTCATTTTTGCAAGCAGGCAAATCCCAAGATCCTGAAAAATGCGAGAATGTTCCATTTAGTTTAACCACTCGACTCAACTAGTCACAAACACTATAGAATACATATATAGTACAAATAATTACCTTGTGAATTTGGAAATATGACCTGTGTTTTTGTGCATCTGGATGTAAACCAACAATATGATTTTTTATTATATCGCCGCCTTTCCAAAAATGGGGAAACGAAGCATATAAAGGTATATCTATAAATCATAAAGTTAATATAAGTTTCATCCCAACATCCTCTCAATTTGCTGAGGAGTAGCCAGCGGAATTAGTGAAGTGAAATGGGAGAATAAAATTGATTATTTGCTTCCCTCAATGTAAATATGTAAATAGTTGTAAATATAAAAGTTGTAAAAGTTAGAATTTTTTCCATTTTTCCTTAAAAACTAAATGTTATATTAAATGTGTAAGTGGAAAAAGTGTAACCACAAAATTACATATGGTAAATATGTATAATTTAATGATAAATGAATAACAGAAAAACAAACTTGTAAATATATCAATTATCATGAAATTTCATATTGTAACTGAAAATTGAAGAATTGTAATAAATTATTAACATTTAAAAAAGTCTAAATGGTGGGTGGTCAATGCTGTAGGGTTAGGTACGATCATAGATAAATGGTTTTGACTGTTTGTTGAGATACGTGAAATATAAATGTCTATCTCTTTTTGTTGAAGTATTTGCTGGAGGGTTTTGTTGATCTGCTTGATGAAAGATAGGGTAGGTTCTGATTTTATTATGTAGGTGTTTGTGTCATTGATAATTGTGTTGTTTGTGTTTATAGTCATTGTGATGAGCGGTTTTCTTTTTTCGTGCGCGCGGCTCGCGGCTTGTTCGAATACCGTCGCTCGCTAGGGTACTCCGAGAGGGTAGCGAGCTACTCCACTCTAGGCCCATCAAGCCTTTTAGGGGTAAGATGTGTCAGGTTGCCCGGGCTTGATGGGTGAACACCCTTTACTTACTTACTACTAACTCTGGGGGAAAGATATTGCAATTCAGACAGATCAAACAGGTCCCTTTATTTGATATGACTGAACAATTCCCAATATGTATAATCAACTAGTGAATAACGCCCTAACCCTGCTTATAAATAGAAACTCTTATTTCCTATTAAACAATTCATATACAAAACAAATTGTTACAACTTCCTTACTGCGGCTGCACGTACGTTGGCGGTAGCTCAGTGGAGAAGGGGGAGACAAGTGATGGTCGGTGAGGGGGTGAAAGGTTATTTATAGGTGTTATGTTGAGCGCCACAGTATTTTTGGGGAAGGATAAATACTGAAACCAGGGACTAAAAAGGAAAAGAAGAGTATAACAATAGGAAGAAAGGGGAAAGGAAGGCACTTCTGGCTCTCTTCTTTCTGATGGCGCTTCCAACCAGGGTTATGATGGGAGCTAAATGATGAAGTTCTTCCTGCTTCCATCCGAGTTAATTCATTAACACAAGCAAGATATCTTAAGGTATTATCTTACTTAGGGTTTTTTTTTTTTTTTTTTTTTTTTTTTTTTTTTACGAGGGTTCGCAACAGCAGAGGTCATATAAACCCTCAGGGTGCCGGTGTTTTTGAAAAAAAGCCCATTTGTAAGTATGTCGGGTTCGAATGCAGGGCCGCTGGATTCGAACCCGGGACCTTTACCTTACAGTGATGAGCGCCGTGTCAAAGACTAAACCTTGCGGCCACCGACGCCCCCATTACTTAGGGTTTAAAACTACGATTGAGAAAAAAAATGAATACTAATCACAACTATTCTATTTACAAGTACATAGACAAATCATTTTAAATTAAAAGCTAACCAAAGGCCGAAACTTGTAGCTAATGTCTCTAGTCCAGAACTATCAGGCCTGATAAGAAATTGGAAATGTACCAACTCACGGGATCACTCCTCACTTGCCGGGATCAGCCCCTTCCTCTTCATAGGAACTCTTTGATTAGCCCGACTAGGTTCACCAACCACACACACACATATACTTTTTAAAAAAACAATGTTTTCTTTTCCTCGCGGAGACCACCTCTTCCTCGGAATGTCTATATCCAACTCACTCCCCTTGCCTTTTTTTCTTTGTATTTTTTCAGACTCGGAACCAGTGCCCTCCCGATCAGGATCTTGCAGGCCGCGAATTGCTTCCTGCTTCTCGCACTTCTCTTCTCGGTTCGTCCCGCCACTATTTAAGCTTTATTAATTTTTTTCCCGAGAAGAAGGAAAAAAATGTAATACTATTACTGGAAGACTAATTCTAGATATAACTAGTGCTCTTACTCTCTTTAACGAAACCTTAATACTTAATTATTGGGATCGTAGTACTAAAAGTAGCCCGAAATCACCCAGCTGTTCTCCAAATCTCCCGCAAACCAATTGACAAAATTTGTACTCACAGGACGGGAACACATGCATCGATTTCGTCGGTCCGATGATAAGGATCCTGCGAACTACGCTGACTAATCTGCCGCACCTGTTCACCCTTTTGACTCCGTTTGACAGACTCACTCATCGTCCCCACGGGACACTCCTACTGACTCAACTGCGGACTCCCGGACTCTACTCGGACTCTCTTCGGACTCAACCCAGAATCTGCCCGGATTTCACTACGATTGTCCTTTTTGTATCAATCCATTCAGAGAGGAGTTGGGGAACAGTTGTACTTCGAAAATACTGCTATGCTTCCGGGTGACCCGACTGCCCTTGTCCTCTCCAGGTCATTGAGCTATTCCGGATGAGTCTGGGCATTAGCTAATCCTGAGGGTTGAGCAATAAGGCCAGTCAGCACAACAGCCAATTTTTCTAGGGCGATTGCCCCTGGATCGACCCTCATTTCTCAATCGAAAACATCCAGCTGTTATTATTTCGCCAGCTTTGTTTAGCTGCGTCTGGAGTTCTCGAGAAAGACAGGGTCGGCTCCTGCGATTCCAGGCCACTTCCGGTTACTCAACCCGGCACAATACACTTTCCCAACAATTAACTAACATATTACTATGTCTAATTTTAATATTTATAACAAACTTAATTGTCCACAAACCCCGTTTAAGATTCCCTTCTGGGGATCTTCACAGTCATCTTTATTGAGAGCTACTGTTTGTTTTGTTTTGCTGAAATGATGAGCATGTCTGGGTTATTTTTTTAGAGATTTTTTGTTTTTTTATAAATGTTTATTGAGTCGTGTTGTGATTATTTGTGGTTAGATGTTTTAAGTGATTTGTTATTGTGTCTATGCATTTGGTTCAAATTGTGTCCTTTTCATCATCCGTTTTAGGTGATTTTTGGATAGTGTAGTCTACATCTGCGATTAACTGAGTAATTAGGAAATCCGATTTGTTATAAAGTATCGCAAATTTCGGTCTTAGTGATAAGAGGTTGTGAATATAAGGGGAAATATTGGTTTTGATGAGGTTTAGAAACCAATTATCGTTTGTGTATGTTTTCTAGAAGTTTTTTGGTATGATTGTTTCTGATTTGGTCAAACAGTTTGTCATAAGAAATTTTTTGGTATTTGTAAAATTGATTCAGGCATGGTTGACAGAGTGTTTGAATTTGTGGATTTTATCAGTTGGTGTTTTAATTATTGATGTAGTTCCTCTTGGGTTGAAATAGTAGATGTTTTTATTAGGATTGATTTTTTTTTATTTCATTTTTTTTTAATATGGGTGGTAAGAAGAAAAACTATCAAACCTTTGTGGCATGGTGCTGTGTTAAATACACCATCTGGCGCGTGTTTTCCGTCTCTCTTGAAACAACTGTATTCTTCCCTTTGATAATTGAACATTTCCTCATGGACATTATATTGATGAACTGGAAAACCATCTACACTCTGAAACAATTTACAAATTAATATCACCGACTGATGATAATTGTAAAAGCTTAATTTTTAAATACTCTAAACATTTAAATTAATTTAAATTTGTAAAAAAACTATCGTTAAACATGGAAAATCAGTTCTAAAATATGCGTCATTGCATGATTTTGGCATACAATTGGGATTAAGGTTGTGCATTGTTTATATGAATACCTGATACCTGTTTACATGAATACATTATTTATATGAATTATTACACTAATAAGAAAATACTGCAAAATAAGCAAACTGTATGATGGCTGTATTAATTTAAAGCTTTGTCTCATTAATTATCACAAAAATGGTCCTTTTTATTGCCTTTGGAATAAACGGTGAGTCAAAATGGGAAGTTTGTGGCATGGGCGATCGAAATCACGGTAGCTCAAGTGGTAGAGCAGCGGCGTATTTAGCCAAAGGTCGTGGGTTCGAATCCCGCTTGTGACACAAATTTTTCATTTAGAAAAAAATAGTTATGTAATATGAGTTATTACTGCATGTTAAATGATTCAAAAAAATATTGATCAAGTAGCTGGATATTAGAAGATTGTAAAATGCACATAATAGCACTTGCTACGAAATGAAAAATATACTTTATTCTGGAATTTCAAGTCGCGTTAATAATTAATTATGAATACAACGTATTTAAGCCAGATAAGGCTGTACAAAGATGTCCATTTACAAAAATATATACATAAGTAAAAATATTCAACTATGGATATTAAACTAAATGGGCAATTAAAAATCTAATGCCAAATTGTAAGTACAAAAGGTGATGAAAGAGATGGGAATTAAAAGTGGAAAGAGATAAGATTCGGCTGATAGAGTGAGGAAGGGAATTTCATAGATTGGAGGCAGGGGAGAAGAACGAAAGTAGTTCATTTTTTGTTTAAATTATACAATAAAAATGTAAATAATTAATCATTTATAATTAACAATATAAAAAAAAATTTCCAATCGACATATGTTTGTAAATTACCCAGGCCTTGAAGACAACCCGAATAAAGATCAAAATGTTGGCAATAAAATGAAAAAGGTGTATTTCTGAAATACATCTAACCTGACCACTCCTCGCTACTTCAACTATTTACTGAACCACGGGTTGCTAAACAACACACAAATTGTAAAGAAAAAGAGACGAAGAACAGGCACAACTTTTTCATAGAATAGCAGGAATATTATCTAGACTAGAGAGAAATCAACTCTTTAAAACCATATCAACAAGAATGGAAAATTCATTAAAAATTAAAGACCAGAGTCCTACTGCATATTTGGGAACCTTAAAGGAACAGCTAAAAGCCAGTGTGATATACATGTTCAAAGATACCTGCAAATTTTATCAGCAACCTGCTGATCACGGACGAGTTCTGTTTAAGGAAAGTCCCAAGTTTCTTGATAGTGTGACAGAAGGAAATAGGGAAATTGTTAATTGTAAATAGAAGAATAGTAAGATGAGAAATTAAGGAGAGAACTGGAATATAATGATTTTAAATATATTTTAGAAATATTTTACCAAACGTGTTTGTGAACTTTTAACTTACCGTGGTCGATTTATTGAAGAAAATGGGCAATGTTCGACACATGTCATGGAGAAAGACGTGAAGTGGTTTCTTTTCCTTGACCAAATTAGCCGGGAATATGGTTCCATCGCTGCCTTCAATTTCATCACATTCAGTGTTACCCCAAGCACCAATATTTTTTTTACCATTCCAGCGAGTGAAAGAGCCTATCGTTGAAAGATCATCATGACCAGTTTTCATTGTTAGAATATCACTGTGCTCTCCTTGCCTCTATAACGTCAGTGATTCATTTTAAATTTTTATTGTAAATAAATCCAGTATATTTAGTGGTCTATTGACCAAATTACTTCTTTCAATTAATTAATCTTTTTATGTAAGGTTTTGGTTGAAATGAAAAAGTTAGTGTCATGAGTCGGATTATAAATAAATTTTTAAAAAAATCATTACATCACTTACTTTGGCAAGAAATCCATACATAGGCGGTTTAGCACCAGGACTGAAAAACTTTGTGCCAAAATTTAATAAATCATCTTCAAAACCCCAGATTACTTGGTTGAGTGTGATATTTTTAAATAGCTTCATATCATTATCAAAAAATTGTTGTAAAACCTTTTGTTCCATATAAAAAGCATAATTCTGGAATCTTAATTTCATAAGAGCCTATAAACAATTGTAGTTAGTATAATGAAAAAACACTCATCGCAACAATAATAATTATTGTAACAATACAGCACATACAATAAGGATATAATATTACTTCATACATAGTTCAGCTGATATAATTAATGAATAATTTGTGATAAGTATAATTCAACCATGAAATATTAAAATTAGTCGATTTTCAAATACATTCCCCATCAAAATAATCACAACTCCATAAGATTTTTGTATTTTACGAGAACATATCTGATTTATTCATCAAAAACCCCTTACACAATTTTTTTTTTTTTAACACGTGTTTGATTGTAAATTCTTCTCCTCTAGCTTTTACGACTGCTTCCATCCTTTGTTGGCAAACTCATAAAACGTTTTTGTAAAAAAAAAAGAGTTGTACAGGGTTGATCCCGTGACTGAACCTTTTTAAGGTTAACCCAAATGAAAATTTTGATTGGTCATTGTGGTATCGTTAGTAATGAAAAAGTCGACTAACTGAGAAAGCAAGTGTAAGAGTTGGGAGATTATCATGATTTTAAACTACCAAAAACTGATGCAAAACATGTGTTTAACAAGAACTGGCTAGAAGAATGGTGTGGCGGTTCAACCGAGGGAGTGCTGGAGGGGTGTACAAATCGCTTTTTCCTGTCCTTCATCCCATGCCATGGCTCTCCGAGGCAAAGACGGGCAATAAAAACTTTTTCTCATTAATCACTCGGGTTAGAACAAATCATTATATTTACAGAGCTTACCTCCACAGAATCAACCACAGAGAGTCGGCAAATTGTGAAACATGCAACGAACCAGAGAATATTGAACACATAGTCTTCATTGCCCGGAATACAAGGCAAATAGGGGAATTTTTCTGGACAGAGTTAGACAAAATGAAGGAGGTCAAGCCACATAGTGGGTAAAGTTTTCTCGTATCTGGTAGGGATGAGGTAGATAAGTTAATCTATTTATTTATCCAAGACTGTGATATTACTGTGTAATTATGCTTATCCTTAGAAGTGCCTCGACCTGGGATTGGGTCCTAGAGCAGGATCCGGGCCGGGCTCTCCAAACACTTCAGGCAGCTGTTAGCCCCGGGATGTGAACTTTTCCACAGATATTATAGTCATTGTAAATGTTTTTTATTTAAATCCCCCAAAACACCATTATTTTTCATGTCATTTTTTAATGAATGGAGTTCTACCAGTAATATTTTTAAAGTTTTTTGGCGTGGATGAGAGCTTCCCCGAGGCCTGCTTCATGTCTGTGGATGGGCCGCAGAATGCAAGCCAGATTCTAGATCTGAGCAGTAAGTACCTGCTCAAGCTATTCTGGCATTATTTGTTTTTCTTTTCTCATCATTGTTGGCCCTGTAAATCGATTTTATTTATTTATCTATTAATTTATTTTGCTGGATATTCTTGTGAACTTTCGGTGGATGTCTTAAAGGCAAAAAAAAATTGACTGGTTCATCACAGCTTAAACAACTTATTATGGACACAAACAAATTCACAGAATAAAGAAAATAAGAGAGAAATGTTGCTACCATACATACAAAAGGTGAAAAATGACAGAAAGGACAATAAAATGAACCAAGAAACAATTTAATCTGTTTGTTAGTAAAACAAAGGTAAAGGTAAATAATAACTATAACGATTAATGAAGGTTTTTAGTTGAGATAAAAAAGTCATTGGCACGAGCAGGATTCAAACCCACGATCTTCGGCTAGTTACACCCCTGCTCTACCACTTGAGCTATCGTGACCTCGATCCACTCGGACACTAACTTGCCATCTAAACCCCACGAAATTAGTGAATTTAATGAATTAAAATGAAGTATACTTCACTAAAGCTCTCCGTGGCCATTTCATTTGTCGCCGAGAATCCAATCCGATTACACGACATTTGAAAAATGGCAAAAAGGAGAGAAAACTCAAAAGGTGAGGTTGAGATGGGAAGTTGGTGTCCGAGTGGATCGAGGTCACGATAGCTCAAGTGGTAGAGCAGCAGCATATCTAGCCGGAGATCGTGGGTTCGAATCCCGCTCGTGCCATTGACTTTTTTATCTCAACTAAAAACCTTCTTTAATCGTAATATATTAAGTGGTCAAGCGGACCACGAAATTAGTGGATTTAATAACTATAACTTAAAGGAGTTGTGATATTTTTGATGGAAAAAAATTGACTCGCGTCATAAATTTACTAGAAAATTAATGAAAAAAACAAACTTACGATAAAAAGAACATTTGGCACCCAAATTGTTGTATTTAATGGAATAGGTGTCAATTCAGGCACAAAGGTAATTGTTTTTTTCTCTTGATATGATACAGTATGATTATCGTTGAAATGGATGTTTATCCTCTCCATTTGTTCCCTGGAATCACAGATTCAATTAATTTTTCATTAGACATTTAAATGGCTCAGAATTAAAATCAAATTAGTACTTATACTTACTAAGGTGATCAAACAAAATTATTTATTATATCACTAACTTAAGGTTACAAATACCATGATTAATTATGGTTTTCACTTTGGAACTAATAGATGAAAAAATAAATATAAATATATACATTATTAATATATTAATTTTTGTCAACTATTATCACAAAAGAGAGAAGAAATATATTTTTTTAAATTTATTATCAAAATCATTCAGGTATTACCATGATATTTATATCACTAATTTATAATATATCATAAATTAATGGGGCAATGTATGTAATAGACTGGAATCACACTCGAAAGCAATGATAAAATCTGACATTTTACGAACAGTTATAAACAATTCTTTTACCTAAAAACTAGTGGTCCTATTTCTTTGACATGTGGTACTTTATCGTCCCCTTTCAACCACGCCTCGTGGTTTGTATAATTGAAAATATAAACTGACAAATGAGTTTTAGTCGGTGGCATTTTCCACATTTCAAATACTGTATCAATATCGTTTCTGATGGAAATCAACTAAAAATCACATTACAAACACATATTAAATAATTATCAAACTTGTTGGACAAAAGGCAAAAATAGCATAAAAATGATGTTCTTATATTATATATATATATATAGTACCCACCTTTAGCACAGCATTATCATATGCATTAGTAAACCACATTACATAATTTATTCCTAAACTTAAAACTGCAAGTAGTAAAGCTACAATGAAACCTAAAAAATACAAAAATTAATTTAATTTTGAAGGTACAACAAAGGAGTGTAAGAAAATTTAAATTTTTATAAACTGTAGAAACATCATAAAAGCCCATCAACTGCCATTATTTGTCACTGCTGTATAAATAATTTTTTTATTAAATAATTTATTTGTAACCTGCAATCTGTAATTGGGGGTAGAAACCGAATTAAAGAGAAGGACTGATTCTATGTGAATCTAGATTGATTAAGGAACGTTTAAAAAGAGGATGTCGAGGATTTTGGAAACTGCTGGAAGAAGACTGACGGGTCTGGGGAGGCCATATAATTAGGAGGTTTGTGTGCTTTCGGAATGTGAATAATACTAATAATATAATAAAGAATAAATTGAATAATATCGTGGTGCTCTTGCTGAGAAAATAACATGAACTGGAGCGTCTCAAAACAGTGGTAGTTGTCTGGGCACCTCCACACAAAGAACTCGAGGGCAACAAAAGCCCTCTAACGCTAAAAATGCTATAAAAAACATGATTAAAAGGAGGCAGCATCGGTCAGCCAGGTCAGCAGAAATGAACGATCTAACTCATAGAAGAAAGGTTAACCTCGCACGAAGAATAACACCATGTGAGGTTGACATACAGACACACACTTTTTGGCCAAATCCCATGCAGCCAGAGAAAGGTTGCTCGAAATGTCCCGCCTACTGAAGGGTACAATTTCTTGGCCCCATATGGAGAGCACATACGAATGCCACCTAAAGTGAGAATTGTGCTTTGTGTCCCCTGTTCAGATTCTTGTAGGAAACAGGGTTATTTTATTGTATTGACACATTTATAGTAATGACAGTTGGTGTTTCTGACATGTATTGAGAGTGAATGCATTTATTAGCATGAATGTGTGATTGTTGATGGCAGAATACCGAATACCCCACCAACCCTCAATTAGGTTAGTTAATATGTGTCTAGAGGGTGATAGAGGAATATCGAGTTTCTTCATCACACTAATTGAGTGAATGGTATGTAAATAACTTACAATTAATTAAGGTTTTTAGTTGAGATGAAAAAAAGTTAATGGCACGAGTGGGATTCGAACCCACGATCTTCGGCTAGATACGCCGCTGCTCTACCATTTGAGCTATCGTGACCTCGATCCACTCGGACATCAACTTCCTATCTCAACCCCACCTTATGAGTTTTCCCTCCTTTTTGCCATTTTTCAAGAGGCGACGTATCTAGCCGAAGATCATGGGTTCGAATCCCGCTCGTGCCATTGACTTTTTTTTATCTCAACTAAAACCCTTAATTAACTGTAATGTATTAATTGGTCAAGCGGACCACGAAATTAGTGAATTTAATGGTATGTAAATAGTTAAATGTATTTACGAATGAGTGTGAGTGTGGATGGGTTTGAATCTAGAAACTGCATGCGTTAGGTGCTGAATTGTCCTAGCTGTTGACAGCACCTGGAGCCTAACCTCAGTGGCTGGATGGATAAGACTGAGGTCTAACCCTGGACTGCCAAAAGCTGAGGTGGGTGTGATTCTTTAGGCCTGCCGGTAATTTATTGTAAATTACAAAAGCTGGAATTGCTCGGTACATGTGTACAGCTTATGTAAATCCAAATCCAATCCAATGACATTGAATATTCAAACAGAAAAGTTTACCTTTGTTCATCCATTGTGAACGTTGACTTTGTTGGATTGTTGTTTCATCTATATCCTTGTACGCATCGTCCTGCCTCTCTGCTTCTCCTTGGCGCAATGGTTCACATTCAATGCCATTAACTAATTGACTTGTCGCTCGGCTGTTACGCTTTTCACTGGGGCAAGCTGAGCGCGAGAACATTTGACCAAAATGATTCAAAAGTTTCGGTATGCATTTCCCATTTTTCTCTTGCCTTGGAAACGTTTCTGCAGATGGAGTACGTAATGAACCCATTCAATTCTATAAAAAAAAAAAAAAAAATATTCAACACTTTTTTCAACTTTCAGTTTTCTTCACTCTAATGAAAATTAAGCTCCTAATAAAATTATGCCATTAATTAGAATACTTATATTGTTTTATATTTAAAAATTTGTTTCATTCAGCATTACCTGAAAATTATTCTGGAATAAACTAAAGGATATTCTTGTTCTTCCTTTTTGCGATTTTTGAATTGTCGTCTTTATTTTTCTCTTTGTTATCAACAAAATTCTGGGGTAAGTAATTTTATAGCATGACTCCTATTTCCTCATAGTCAGAATTTATCAATATAATAGCATAATTACAATCACAAAAGAAAAAGAATACAGTATCTCTAAGAAAACTCCGACTTAGAAATGAGGAGCAAGTGACTGTGCACAGGCACAACTTAAGAGTTTTTTGTCCAGAATCATTACCAAATAAAATTTCTTAAATTCAACCCAGTAAATATGTTAATTAGAAACAAATAAAATATTCATTCTCCGGTGGGACCTATATCAGCAAACGGTCTATTTCTTTACTTTACTGTACTTTAATGCTCTTTGCCCTTTTTTCATTGTCCAGTAATGAATTTCCGTTTTAATTAATCATAAATTAAATTTTAATTGTAAGAATTGATTTTTCTTTAGGGTTGTAATGAAAACAAACCACGAAATAACTAAATTTATCCCGCTTTATGAAAGGGACTGTAAATTGGCACGGAAAGTTCTGCGTTGCACTATAAATAAAAATAAGCATATCACTGTAAATAAAATGGTAAATTCAAAGCCACCTTGAGAAAATTTTAATTCGATGATTTTTTAAGAAACCAGGCCTCCAAAACAGTAGAAAAATCACCTTGCTGAACAATTATAAATTTACTTGTGCATTCACTTCCATACAAAGAAAATATGAATATAATATACAATGAAAATCATGATTGCTAAAGCCTACCAGCATATTTTTCCAATGTAGGAACAAAATAGGATAACAATAACAAATATAGGAACATAAATAGGATAAAGGTGATTTTCAACGTAATAAAGACATCATCAAGCTTCGGCAAATTATTTCTGGGGTGATATGAATGAACTAACGCAATGTTGGTTTTTGATATATTCATGCATATTCAAAATTTAAAAAAAAAGACAATAAATTTCCAAAACCAATTTACAATTTGCTACAGAAAATCTTTAATCCGAACAATCACCGACTTTCAGAGCTGAAAAACGTTTGGTAGAGGTGAAAAAGAAGGGGCAGGATTAAACGGGGTTTAGACAAATTAAGATTATTTATTATAAGTTGTAAAAAAATTTATAAATATTTAATTTTTAAAATAGAAAGTATTATTGGTTCACTTTTTGTAAATGGTGGTGGTTTTACACGCAGAATTGTTGTTTACAGCCACCTTGATTTCAAGCATTAAACGTCCATCTTCAGGGGCTGAAGGAGTTATAAAAACGTGTCTCGACATGAATTTTAAGTGTGATCCACCGCTGACGCGACGTTCCAATGAGAAGCTGGTTTTCAATGCCGCTCAATTTTGAACATGCGAAAAACGAGAATTATCATATCAAAATTCTAAATTAATCTTTAAGTTGTGTGTCAAATACACTGATGGACACATTTCACGCACCACTCAATTTATTTAGTTTAAAATTTAATCCATTATCTTTCTACAGGTAATTAGGAGCTATCGTAGTGAAAATAAACAGTAAATGGCTTCGTTTACTTCCTTTATGTACTTTTGAACTCATTAATCCCATGTGCGCAAAAAGTGGCAAAATGGGCATTCAGCTACGCCTAAATATCACTTTCAGTTAATCTTTTTCATTCGTTGATTGCATTTTATATTATTCTTAAGCTTCGATGGCTTCAGTCAGGCACTTGAGTGATTATGACAGTCAGGGTCATAACATTATTAGAAGAAGGATACAACCAGCGCGAAGTTGCTAGGAGACTACAATAGGATACAAAAAGTTCTTCGGCGCTTCAGAGAAACAGGGCTTCACGCTGGAAGGCCAGGGCAGTGAGAGAGAGATGATAGATTCATCCGTCATCAGGCTCTACAAAACTGCAGCAATATCGGAAATGAGATAAGAAATCTGACAAGACAAGTCTGAAATTTTTCGATTTTCTCCAGGACTGTAAGAAGAAGGCTTAATTAAAATACCCTCATGGTACTTGGACCTGTTCTTATCACAGCTCAGAAAATGGCCAAGCCTCAATTCACCCGGGAAGATGTGAATTGGACATGGGATGATTGGGGATGAGTTCTCTTTACAGACAAGGCGATTTGGCCTGAAATCTTCAGACGAGCGTACTTTTATATGGAGAAACTCAGGAGAAAGGTACGACTCATGCTGTATGACTGGTCGCATTCCACGGTGGGTCATTGATGTTCTGGGGTGGCATTTCCTTGGACGCTCGCACCGAATTGGACGTTTTGCCATTTGCCCCCCCCCCCAACATTGGTGAGAAATTCTTGCTAATGCAGGATAATGTCAGGCTCCATAACACAGAACACCTACTATGGAAGACCTGAATGAGGTTGGAGGTTGGTGTGCCCAGCTCGAAGTCCAGATTTGAACCCAATCGACGAGTACGACGGCGAATCCCAGGTCCTATCACCCAAGGGGAGTGGGAAACGACTGTTCTTCACGAATAGGAAAGAATTCCTCAGGATTTTACAAGAAATCTTTTCCAATGCAAAGGCGTTTAACGGAAATACTCGGCAGTAAAGGGTACCGAAAAGTTTTTTTACAGGCAAACAAAAGGACGGAACTAGATCGGTTGTCGCGCAGAAGAATATTTTTCTTATTTGCCAAGTTTTCAACTCCAGATCCATCAAAGAACATGCTTATTGATACAATCAGAAAATCAGTTTCTAGGTACTTAAAATTCATACGACAAGTTTACGAGCTAAATGAAAATAAATAACTGTAACATCAAGAGATTAGTGTTTTCTGTTTGGCACTCACAAAATTGAGCCTTTTTTCGAGAAAGTGGATGATGAGGAAGAACCCCCAGGCTTGGAGGAATTAATGGAGATTATTGCATCAATAAAGAATCATAAAGCACCAGGAATTGGTACGATACCAGCTTAGTTGCTTAAATATGACAGGCCGTGGTGACTAAAGTATATATGTTAATAAGGGACATCCGGACGCAATAAAGAATGCCGGAAATCTGAAGCTGTTCTTTATCCAATTAATAAGAAAGGTCACAGAATGGCCAGGAAAATGGTACTGCACTTCTATCAGTGGTGTATAAGATACTCTCCGCAGAAGTTAATTATAGGCTGACAAAATCGGCTGATAGGGCGATAGGCGAATACCATGCTTCTGGCAGGGTAAATCAACAATGGACATAATATTCTCATTAAGGCTACTGCTGGAAATAGGAAGAAGAAATGATCACAATGTGGGCTTGCACCATCTATTTATAGATTTTAAACAGGAGTATGATTGTGTAAATTGGGAAATGATACGAGGTCGCAGGGTTGGTAACATGTCTGGGGAATTTAAGTCACAGGTGGGTTGAGACAGAGAGACCTATTGCCGCCTATTCTATTCAATTTGGCCCTCGAAAAGGCAACACGAGCGATTCGACTAACCCTGATGGAAGAGTCTATAATAGGTTGACTCAGCATAGGGCGTATGCAGGTGATGTGGTCAGAACAGCGCGCACTTTAACCGCCCTATCAGGGGCCCTAGAAGAGTTTGATAAGGCAGCGAGTGGCTTCAGTACCAGTTTGAATAAAACGAAGTATATGAAAACAGCAATACTCAATAAATTAGGGAAGAAGTGCAGAAAGCAAGCAAATCTTGGGACGTTGCAACAATTTAAATACCTGAGTAACCGGTGAAGGAGGCCAATGATATAAATGCTTAGTGTGTGGTATTTAGTGACCGTTAATTAATGATTATTTGTAGATTGTGAGATGCGGTCTGGTGTGACGTAGGTTTTAGGAAAACATTTTCTTTATCGTGCCAACGTTTCGATCTTTATTGGGATCATCTTCAGGCCTCAGTGTTTGTTTTTTGTGTAGATGTGTCATTCTTGTGTGTCGTGTTGAGAGGATTGCCAAGATTACCAAAGAAGAAAAAGATGATGATGACGTAGGGGTGCATCTTAGAAATTTACGAGGAAGAAGAGGGAAAGCAGAGGACAGAAGTGAGTGGCTCTTGATTCTAGAGCAGGCCCAAGCACAACTAGGGCTAAGTAAGTAAACAAGTCTGAACGCCAATCAGGTCAGTGGGTAGATGTCGATGTACGGAGTTCTATGATTAGGTCCATTTTACTATGCCAAGAGGAAAAACAATCAAATCAAAGACGAACCGCTAAGAAATTGGCCCATTGAATATAAATTTGATGAACGTCCCTAACCCTATCCCGACTTGATCCAACCCAACACTCTCCGATAACGCGAAAATGGACACGCAAAAAAATCCTGTATTCAGCCCACAAACATATCCATGTTAAAACAGCCGACAATAGTGAGCAGGAAAACTCATATCCTGTTGCATGACCAATGCCCGACCTCATGTTTAACCATGGACTGTGTTCTAATTAAAAGAGCTATGAAATAGCCAATACAGGTTACGCAGCTTGGACAGCTTTTTTCAACGAAACGTGTTAACAAATGAGCCGTATATTAAAAGCTTTTTCTGATTTTGTTTCATCTCGCGATTCACATTTTTTTAAATAGAAGTATTGCATAAATTTATTAGTTCAGTTGTAATAAGTGAACTAATACGACATAATTTTTTGCAGAGCATGAACCCATGTCCGTCATCCTCTTCATCATCGCATGGGAAATAGGTTTAGACTAGATAGCTTAGTCTGAACAGAACGAAAATGAGAGAAAAACTAGAATAGTAATTTATTAATTATTTCTCGTCAGTACTGAGGATGTCGAAATTCTGGTTTTGTCCCAGATCGGATTATCAACAACCAAGCCTTTCCACTCGATCGGTTGCTGGCGGCAAACCTACACTGAT